TTTTCACGATTCAAAGCCAGCCCAGGCAGGCAAATCTGGAAGCCTCTGAGCTCCAACTGAGCCAGCAAAAAGCCGGGAGTGGAGGCGTGGTTCAAGTGGTGGAGCGCCAGCCTTGAACAAAATACCCAAGTCAGGGCTTGAGGCCCTGAGTTCAAGCCCTAGTTCTGACACACACACACGCACACACACACACCCCTCTGAGGTACGCTCACAGTGTTTCACTCTTCCCTCTTTCCCTGTGCTGATCATGGTTGGTGCACAGCCAGATGACAGTGGAGTCAGCCATCAGGAAAACCCACGCCGCACCTTCTCCTGCGTCCTTCTAGAAAAGTCTCTCGCATCGTAACGCTGCCCTCCAAGGGATCCCCGGATTCACGGTTCCCTCTGCGGCATCCTTAAGCTTCTAGCACATTCTCAGAGAGTTCGAGTCCAGGGCCTCCTCTCTGAGTGGAAGAGCCGTCCCCCCTTCCCTCCCCCTCAGCCTCGGGTGCCCAGGACCGGGCCTTCATCTTTCCACGTGTTCCCCCTGCACACCTGGAGCTCACTCCTCACCCCAAGAAGGGGAACTTTCCAGAACCGGCGCTTCCCTCTGCTCTTCCTCTCTCCAGGAGTCTCCACAGCCTCGGCTCCAGAGGAGGGAGGTGTGCAAGGATTTGCACACACAGCCTGCCTCTTCCCCCTTCCCTTTCCTTTCTCTCCCTTCCCCTCTCCCTCCTTCCTTTCTTCCTCCCTTCCTCCCTTCCTTTCCACTTCCTTTCTTCCTTCCTTTCTCTCCTTCCTACTTCCTTCCTTCATTTCTCCTTCCTTCCTTCTTTCCTTTCTTTCTCTTTCCCTCCCTTTCTTTCTCTCTCCTTCTTCTTCTCTACTTTCTTTCCTTCCTTCCCTTCTCCTTTCCTTCCTTCCTTCCCTCCCTCCTTTCTTTCTTTTTTCTCTTTCTTTCTTTCTTTCTCTTTCTTTCTGTCTTTGTCTTTCTTTTTCTTAATTTCTTCCTTTCTTCCTTCCTTCCTTCCTTTTTCATTTTCTTCCTTTCTTTCTTCCTGTGCAGCTGTCCTGGGAATTGAACTCAGGGCCTGGGCGCTGTCCCTGAGCTCTTTCACTCAAGGCTGGTGCTCTACCCCTTGAGCCACAGCTCCACTTCTGGTTTTTCTGGTGGTTCCTTGGAGATCAGAGTCTCACGGACTTTCCTGCCCAGGCTGGCTTTGAACCTCAATCTCCTAGATCTCAGCCTCCTGAGTCGCTGGGACGACAGGTGGGAGCCACTGGCACCCAGCCGAAACCTTTTCTTAGCTTTACCATCCCCCATCCTATGAGCACCCCAGCCGCCCCTCTGCCCTCCACACGGGTCCCCCGGATCAACACTACTTCTTCCAGACCTAAGGTCAAAGGTCCACCCTGCCGTCCTGCCAAATGCTCTCAGACGTTTCTGCAGGAAAGAATCTGGTGTGTGTCGTTACACGTTTGTCTACAGGAGTGCAAGCCCCGGAATTTTAAATTGTTTGTTGAAAGTCAACCCCAACCATTGGACTCTTTCAAGAGTTTTCAAAATTCACCTGACAAATTGCCTAATCTCTATCTAAAAAGATGAGCTACAGAAAAGGAAACTGCATAGCAATATTCAAATGTATATATACAGTGGGGGGTATATGTATATATATACACACACATTTATATCACATTATATATAATATCTAGCATGCAGAGGGCTGGGAAGGTGGCTCAGTGGTAGAGCGCTTGCCTTGCATGCCTGAGGCCCTGGGTTCGATTCCTCAGCACCACATAAGCAAAAAGAAAAAAAGCTGGAAGTGACGCTGTGGCTCAAGTGGTAGAGCGCTAGCCTTGAAGAGCTGAGGGACAGTGCCCAGGCCCAGAGTTCAGGCCCCACGACCAGACCCCCCCACAAAATAATAATATATAGCATGTAGAATATATGAAATGTTATGATAATGTGTTATATTATCTGTATATATTATTATATTATGTATGTAATATTGTTGTAGAATATATGTTAGTATAGTATATTTTATAAATATATAACATTATACAGTATATATTATTATATTATCTGTAATAGTATATAGCTATATCCTCATAATGTAATATATGATATATAATATATAATATATATATGATATATATAATATATATATATATGATATATATAATATATATACTATATATCATATATAGTATATATCATACTACATGATCATGTAATAGATAGTGTATATACTATATATAACTCTTATAATAATTATATATCATTATAATATATAATGTCTACTTGATCATATGTAATATATTTAATATATAATACTATGAGATATGGGATATATTATACAATTATATTAATATATAACATATAAACTGCATTATATAATACTATATAATATAGTAATATATAATATGTACAATGTATAGTACAGGCTATATTTAATGTGCAATGTATAATAAATACACTATATATAATACATATACCTCCTGTAGATGAGATCAACATCATATATTATGATATGTATTTACATGACGAGATAGAGAGAGAGGAGGGGAGCAGGTCGGCCAACAAGGACTCCATCTTGAAGCTTGCTGTGACTCAACTGGACTAGTTGACACCAGCTCCTGCTCGAACCCATGTGCGGGGCAGGGGGAGGGAGGAAAATCACAGCTTCTAGAAACTTCAATGGAAACAACCAACAGCCAGTTGAAGAGCACTCAGGAAAAGCCCACAGTCCGCCATTCACTGAACACTTACTATACCCGACTGCATTCCCAGGACTTCCTTGACATACAGAAACAGCAGAGGTTTAAAAAGAAAAAGACAAAGTCCCCCAAAGTTCATCTCATGTGTACGGGGAGGGAAACAGGCTGCTATGAGAATGATTTCCATGTTTCTTACACACTCACACACACACACACACACACACACACACACACACACTCACAGAACCCTTAAGAGGAGAGATCATTTTCCTAAGTGTAAAACTCAGCCTTGATTCTGTCAGACCCAATCATTACAGCAGAGCAAAGCAAATCCACATTGTCTAATTAGGTCATTAAAGCATGTATATGCGTCATGGAGCCTTTTCTTCTGGCTTAAGACAGACAGTGGAGTCCACGAGAAGAGTCTGCGACTATCGAAAGGTTTAGAATTGGTTTTTCCCCCCACCCTCCACCCCCCCCCAAAAAAAGTAATAGGTCCTTTCATCTTTCCATTTCCCTTTGCTGGAAGACAGAAAGACAGAGAGAGAGAGGGGAAAAAAAATCTTCTAATGAGTGCAGAGTTTAACCCTGATTCGATTTCAAAATATTTAACCAGAAACAGGAAGAGATGGGGAGGAGGGGAAAGAAATCCATGGAAAAATGATCAAAGGCAAGGAATAAAAATCAAGAGAGTGGGTTGTGGCTCAAAAATGCAATCTGCAGAGGGTCAGATGGATATAAAAGAAAGAAAGATGTAGAAACATCGTATAAACACAAGCCACACAGGATGTCGGGAAAAGCCGTTAGGATGTATGAATGGACAGCCATCTACTCTTTTTGGGGGGGGCTCAAAATGAAGATATTAATGACCCACTGTGTGAGTTCACGCATCTCAGAAGACTCAGGGCTCAAAGCATGAATTATAACAACAACAACAACAATAATAATAATAATGATGACTCTTACCTGTGAACCCCTGGGCCCACGCTTGTGTTCCCATTCTGGTTGTCCCATTAGCTGCCAAGATAATAGGATAATTCTGGTCAATGGAATGCTTCAGTTAGGTAGCAAATGTCTTTCCCCATTTCATTGACAATCTAATTCATTCCCAGACCCAAGCAAATAAAGGTCCGGGTGGGAAGCTGGCATCTCAACCTGCTCTTGTTTGCAAAGGTATTTTAACATCAGGAGAATGTGATTTTATTTTTTTTAAAGGAAAGCAATCATGAATACATTTTCTGTTCTTTTGGTCAAGAACAGAGAGATGGTCAGTTCGTCCAAGCTCATTTGTAAGTCTAGAAAGCTCCACGGAGCATCAGGGAAATATTCTGAGAAGCCCCATACCAGCCTCTAAGCATCTGATCGTGAATGCAAGCCAGAACGTTGAAGCGATTTAGTTATTTTCAAATAAAAAAAAAATAAAAGCATGAGTCGCAAGGAGCAAAATTTATGTCAAAAGAGATGGTTCCTCAATGCCACAAAATGTACGTGTTTGTTTATTTTTGTCACCGGGACACTGCAACATGACCATGCAGAGTCGGAGGGTGAAAGTTCAGAGCCACGTGGCTTTTAAGACAGAATATTCATTTCAGAAAAAAATCATTTAGGGAAAGAATATTCAGGAAGCCAAAGACAGCAAGGAGAGAAATGAAACTAGCAGAGATCCCCAGGAAATGTAAACCTTGTCCAGGTGGCTCCCGCCTGTCATCCCAGCCACTCAGGAGGCTGAGATCTGAGGATCGCAGTTCAAAGCCAACCTGGGCAGGAAAGTCTATGACACTCTTATCTCCAGTGAACCACCAGAAAACTGAAGTGGAGCTGTGGCTCAAGTGGTAGAGCGCCAGCCTTGAGTGAAAGAGCTCAGGGACAGCGCCCAGGCCCTGAGTTCAAGCCCCAGGACTGACAAAAAGGAAAAACAAGTATCAGACAGCTAGATATGGGAGGTGGTAAAGTTCAACCAAGAGCATCTAAGGGGCCTGCTGAGAACATTCAACTCAACACAATGACAGGAAGAACAGTTCTGCCCACATACTCTGACGGGTTCAAACTAAAGGAGGGAAAACCCAAAATTTTATCTGAGATAATATGTAGAAATCAGCTATGCTGGATGAACAGACCTAAAAGTATATCTCTCTCTATATGTATATGATATATAATATGTAATATGGTATATTACATTAATACTACTATGTTCATATAATTAATACTATATAATTATAATTAATTATATAATTATATATTATATTATATAATATTTACTATAGTGACCTTTATATATCATTATATAAAACATATAGCAATATGTACCTTATTATGTATTTATGTATATTCTATATACACTATATATTTTATATATACTATATATTTGTTATAGTATATAGTATGATATATTTGTTATGATTATATATTTTATAATTATATACATTATATATTTGTTATAATATATAGTATATATAAAATGTGCAATTGACACATTATAGAATATATAATTCTTGGAAATCTCTCATATATGTATTGCATATAATTATATTATATTAATTACATCTATAATATGTCATATATGTATGTATTTTACATACTGTGTATTAACTATTTTATATATTATATATAACATATATGCATTGATAAAAGAGCATACTGAAAAATAATGTGATATATAGTTTATATATCACATATTCCATATTCTATAGAATATCTAACAAAATTATATATTATCTATGCAGTGTACGTATATTATACATGATCGGATTTACATATTATATATATATATATGTATTTATCAAATGGCATAGTGAAGGAGGAGGAGGAAGGAGGGGGGAGGAGGAGGAGGGGGAGGGAAAGGGGAGGAGGAAGGGGAGGGAAAGGGGGGAGGAAGGAGGGGGGAGGAGGAGGAGGGAGGAGCAGAGAAAGAAGGAAAGAAATACAATAATTGCTACATATCATATTATTTAAAGGGTGATGATTATTATTTGCCTGTATTCAAAGCATAGCTGTTGTTGCTGTTATTGTTACTGTTGTTGTTGTTGTTGTGTTGTGTTGTGGCAACGGGCATTTTCTGGCTCTACCTCTCACCCGACACTCCTGCCTAAGAACCCTGGTCCTCAGACAACCATCCTCTGCGTCTGCCTGCCAGGCCCGGCTCACCCGTGGAGAGGGGGTTCTCAGCCCTCTATGCCCCACCTGCTTGGGGTAGCGGGGACTACAGGCAGGAGCCACCCTGCCCAGCCCCGGGAAGGCGGCCTACAGGCTGACCCGAGACCCCACAGTGCAGACAAGGCCCAACCTGGAGTCGCAGGGCGCCGTCGGTGCAGGCAGGTGAGACAGATCAGCTCCTGGGTGGTTGGCTGGCCAGGAAGGAAACTTCTGGCAATATCTCGGTTGGCATGAGACGTGGCGTTCAAAACCACACGGGTTTAAAAAAACAACAACTCACTTTCGTCCCTGTATTCCCTTCTCTTTCCCACAAGGAAAATAACCTTGTTAATTCAAAGCAGATTGAAGCCAAGGGCCAACTCCTCACTGATCACGTTCAATGATCAACGGCCTAGTCAGGCACGCCTCTCTATTTCTCTCTCTCTCTCTCTCTCTCTCTCTCTCTCTCTCTCTCACACACACACACACACAGTCTGATGACTGCAAACTGGGCCAACAGATATCTTTCTTTCCCCCCAAAAGTGGGGACAAAAATCAATCCAACTCCCACAAACTAGAGGATCCCACTACATGAGGTACTGCTTTGGCCTTTCCAGTGCTAGGAAGAGTTTCTAGTCTCCCCCTGCATTGAGTATCTCATTTAAACCTCCCCTTACTGTCACCACCCCCATGGCTTCAAAGCTCCCCAAAGATCTGGCTCACTTTCCCAAACTACCACGTTGATGACGTTTAAGTCCGGCTCAGAGAGACAAAGGCCCGCGTGGCTTTTCTCTCCTCCGCAGAAGTGAAATTTAAATGAGAGACGCAGGTGACAGTTGCAGCATTTCATACACAAGGGCTGGCTGGTTGGTTTTTGTTGGTGGTGGATCTCGAACTCAGGGCCTGGACACTGAGTCTCCTAGCTTTGAGCCACAGCGCCACTAACCGGTTTTCTGGTTTGTTCCCTGGAGATCAGAGTCTCAGGGACTTTTTCTGGCCTCGAACTACGATCCTCTAGATCTCAGCCTCCTGAGTAGCTGGGATGACAGGCGGGAGCCACCGGCACCCGGCCATAAATGATAGCTACTAGGGTCTGCCTAGGGGAGAATTTCAGCGGTGTAAATCCTTTTGGAACAACCCGTTGGCAGTCGAACAGAACAAACACCTAGGGAGAGAGCACCGAGCCCAGGAGACACTGGATCATTGTGGAGATAATGCACACACCCTAGGCCACAAAAGAAATCAAGGAAAAGGACACAGCCACATCTCAGTTCAGCTCTGGGCCTGCTACCTAAAGCATGTTCTAGAAATCATAACGAACTCCTCTGTTAACTACACAACCGCTGCTGACGGGTCCAGCTATCACTGACTTTGGGACTCCAACCCCAGTTCCACCCGGCGGCTCAGCCCACCACCGCATTATTGGCCTTGTATGTTGTATCTGTCTGGTTCTTGCTGTTCACGCCAGAGATTGAAACCAGGGCCTCCCCCAGACACCCTCCCTCCCCCCCATCCCACCCCCAGACTCTGTGCTGGAAAATGTCCTCCAGATAGCACGGGACCCTACATGCCAGCTGACTCGGGAGGCTGAAGTGGAGGATCGTGGTTTGAGGCTAGCCACAGGCAGGAAAGTCCGTGAGACTCTGATCTCCAATGAATTCCCAGACTAAAGGCAGAAGAGGAGCCTAAATGGTAGAGCACTTTGGGAAAACAGAGAAATACGGCAAAAGTGCTGTCTTTGAAAACGAATCGACCTGGATCATCAGCAAGGTTTGCGATTATGGGTTATACACTGGGGGCAGCTAATGAGGCTCAGCATCAAACACGTAGGATTTGGCAGTAAAGATGACTCCAGATAAACTTCATTGTGTGTGTGTGTGTGTGTGTGTGTGTGTGTGTGTGTGTGTGTGTGCCAGTCCTGGAGCTTGAACTCAGGGCCTGGGCGCTGTCTCTGAGCTTTTGCACTCAAGACTGGTGCTCTACCGCTTGAGCCACAGCTCCACTTTGGGCTTTTTGGTGGTTAATTAGTAATAAGAGACTTGATGTCTTTCCTACTCAAGGATGGCTGTAATAAAGCCACAATCCTCAGATCTCAGCCTCCTGAGTAGCTTTTCTTCACACATTTATATAAACCATCCTTTAAATAGCCAAGCACTGGTAGCTCACACCTGTCATCCCGGCTACTCAGGAGGCTGAGATCTGAGGATCGTGGTTCAAAGCCAGCCCTGGGCAGGAAAGTCCATGAAACTCTTATCTCCAAGGAAAACTGGAAGTGGAGCTGTGACTCAAGTAGTAGAGCACCAGCCTTGAGTAGAAGAGACTCAAGGTACAGCACCAAGGCTCTGAGTTCAAATCCCAGGACTGGCGCACACACACACACACACACACAATAAAACAAACATACTTCATTAATCTGCGGGAGATTAAAACAAAACTAACGGAAAAGCCTTTTGGGGGGTCACCAAGTTTAGGTCTCTATTTTAGCACAGGAGAGTTCTGCTCCCAAAAATGATCTCAGGAGCTTGGATCAGAAACGAAAACCAGGCTACACAAAGACAATCAGTAGCTGTCCAGCGTGATTAGTGACACGGGATTCATTTTCTTTATAGAATAAGAAATATAGATAGATGATTAATAGATGACAGATAGGTAGATAGATAGAGGTGATTGGTAGATGATAGATAGATAGATAGATGATAGAGATGATTGGTAGATGATAGATGATTGATAGATGGATATAGATGATAGGTAGATAGATGATTGATAGATACATAGATTATAGATAGATAGATGATAGACAGCAGACAGACAGACAGATGATAGATACATAGATGATAGATAGACAGACAGACAGATAGGGAGGGAGGGAGGGAATTTCTAGGC